AGAAGAAAAAAATTTTTCCTTTTTTTTTTTTTTTTTTTGTTTCTTTCTATGTAGATATATGTAATAGATTGTTGGTCTACTACTGAAAGTATTTAAAAAGATAATCATAACTATATGTTTGTGTACACATAAGTTGGATACGAATCCACTCGCAGTGGATTGTATTTTGCCCGTAGATTTTCTTATGGCATTCATTGGCAATTAGAAAAAGAGTTATATCTTCTGTTCATATCTTTTATTACCACACGTTTCCTGTCAGGCCATTTAGATAATGGATGAAAACCGTTTTAAATTTATGAGTGATAAGACTGACTCCCCAGTATACACAATATTGCGTAACAACAAATGTGATGAATATGTGCCTTAAATTATTGCTTATCGATGTAAAAAAAAAAAAAAAATAATGTAAAATAAATTATATAGCATGAGATTAGATTTACTATCATATAATGACTGACTATACTTATTATTTCCATATAAACAAAAAGCATTAGAAAGGCAACAACATCAGTTGTAAAATAAAGTAATTTAGCAAAAATTATACACAGTTGCGTCTCCTCCAAAGGGGTAATCAAAGCCCAAATGCGGGCAAAGTATTAAGTTTTAAGTTTTATAGATTTATGTAGAATATGTTAGAAAAATTTTTCTTCCCTATAAACTTGATAAGGCAATGACTTTCATCTTCCAGTGAAGCTTAGGGATCCACCCGCTGCAAAAGAAAAAAAAGAAAAAACGGGAACGCTTTGCAAACTACATCAAAAGGTGCATAGTTTTTCCTAACAGCAAATCTTATAACATGGTGATGTTTTTTATGATATATATAACGATATAAATGATTCTCTTATTGATGAATTTCATCCGATCTAGATTCCGAGTCACTGCAGTTTTATATTAAATTAAAAGTCTGCTATCCACGCGCGGGAAACCCTTTCTGACGGTATAACCCTAACGGTGAAATAACCTCGGAGAGATGCTCTTTGTCTAATTCGAAAAAATGTCATGCAAGATTGGCAATACAAATATCATGAGATAACGCTGGTACTAAGTGATCGTCTCTTCATTCTTTCATGACATTCCAACTCCTGCCGAATGACATTTTCGCGACAAATTAAATTACTTAACAAACTCACGAATAGTCACGCATGCGATAATGTCTGCTTGAAAATGATGCGTGGAATACCATTTCGTATTTGTTAAGAGTACGACGTACCGGAATTAGCTGAGCATCTAATTTTTGATATAATCAGAGAGCCTAGCCTTTCAATATTTTCAGCATTTACAACAGACTTTGTGAAATCTTTCATGCTAGCAAGAAATGCTCATCTCAAACAGCTGACTTATTTTATCAAAACGGCTATATTTTCCTTGCAAACTAACTCCGACCTTTTTAAACTTGCGCTAAGCACACATTGCTCCTTTCCTCCGTTGCCTATTCCTCCGTTCCAGCAAACAAAAAAAAAAGAATTTTGGTAGGAACGTTTCTAGGAAAAGAGTTTATGATCACAATATTTCGAGCCAAAAGTTGTTCCAGATAAATAAATGTGACCTAAATGTGTGCTAAGAGCGATCAAGTAAAAGAAATCTCATTATTGGCTCATTATTAAATCTTTTCACGTTTTTTTATAGAAATTTCAAAAAAAAATTAACATGACATTATTTTAGTGAACAGAAGAAGGTATTATCCTTTAAATAGCAAATCGTGGACCGGTTTGAAATATGATAGATATGGAGCTTTTTGTAATATTTATTAAAATAAATTTATGGAAAATATACATTTTTTTTTAAAGAATAATCCTTTGGAGACGTCTTCTATATGTGTAACGCGGAGAAGAAGTGAAGAAAGATGCACCCAATTTCTGGGAATCCTATATCTGATCGGTAATTGTTATGTCCTTACCGAACAACCACCACACCGAAGATACAATACGAAGATACAATATTTTTAATGTATTGTTTATCGCAACGAAGATTGAACCTGAGTATACTAACTAACTAACTAAAATGAAAATGATATGAGATCAACGGAGTTCAAAAATGCAGACTAAAATAAAGATCGACACAATAAAACGCAACAAACCATTGTTTGCGTCTATGACCTTTGACCCATATTGCCTTCACTTTTCATACATAAATCATTACTTAGTATAGCTGTAATGCACGATTCTTCATCAACCTAACCATTACGCGAGATTCGAAATTTTTGCAAGCGCCAGAGTTTTGACAATTTTTAATCAATTAACCAATTAATTTGATTGAAGTGAATTTCACCTACAACTGTATAATGATTTTTCGAATTTACTTCGAAATGTTAGGAAAGAAAAAGATAATAATCACAAGTGTTACATGTGCTACAAGCGACGATATATTTGGTAATTGGAAGCGCACTCAAAAACTAAATTTTTCCAAAATTAGAGCTTAGGGGGCGAAGCCACTGACACACTTCAAAAAAAGTTTTTTTGGCAATTAAAAAGAAAGATAATAGAATAATTGTATTTGGTGACGTCATTAGGCGTATATTTAAACATAAAAAAAATATATATATTTCTGTAAAATGTCAAAAAATGACAAAACCGGATCTGCGGCATAAAGCGTAATTTGTTCGAACTTGAGTTGAGGTCATGACCCACGTACCCCACCCTACCCTGCATATATTCGTGCAATAATAAGTTGTTGTATAGGAGGCGGTCGATAAAGTGGTCCAATTCGAACCATTTTCAAAGGGGACCTTCCTTAGGACAAAACAAGTCAGCGTGTTAAATTTCTTCAAAATATCTAAAAAATTGGAACTTGTAGATGCAGCACAACAACAAGGACAAACGGACAGATGAACAGACAAGCGCAAATCAATTCAGAAAATGGGAGTGAATCGATTGATGTAATAAAAAGTGAGTATATCTCAAATGCTTCTGGGAGTTACGCGCATCCGCGCAAACCTGATATATCCTTGTACCCCAAGTGATGAAAAGCAAAAAAAGAAATCATTAGATTTACAAGCCTATGGCCAGTGAAATATGTACAATTTTTTATACATAAAAAAAAAATGAAAAATTTTAGATTAACTGTCTCACTAGAGAATTCTTCTTAATGATATTATGATACAAAAAGTTCGAATGAAAAAAATGAGAAGCATTCGCGTTATAATGCGTGCCCTTGCAAAAATCGTCTTTCGAGGAAAATGCATTTACAGGGTCAAGTGTCCACATATCGTAACGCAATTATGTTTAAAAAATTAATTGCTTCACCATTTAAAATTTTTCCACGCCTACAATTTTGTTTATTGTTTGTCATTTTAAATTTTTTAGGGAATTATTTAAAACCAAGAGAAAGAAGAAATAGACTTCTTGAGATTCCTTGCTCTTAAGCTGGCGAGATTGATAAGGTGAGAGCAGATGGTTTTTCTTTTTCAAGGGATCTCTTAAGTTGTAAGTCCGATTTCCATATGAATGCCAAGTCGATCTTCTTAATCACGCTGATCGAAAATAAAATATGTATTGTATATAGTGTCTAGAGTCGTCTATACTACGACGCTGCACACCTACGCTATAAAAGTGTTTACGAAATTTAATATAGTGTTCGGTTAAAGCGGTAAACTTCAACTTTAGGATTTCAAAATGTTTCTCTTTGTAGCCTCGGCCATTGCGGCTAATACTGCGCCGATATTAATCGGAGCCACGTAGAAAGTCTGCGCGACTTTGATCAGCTTTCATCTAAAAATGACGGCCACTTATCAGTTCTGTCTTTTTTTAATTTTTTCTTGATTTTAATTTATTATTACAACGCTATTTATTTCTTTTCTTCTTCTTCAACCACTTGACTCACATGAATTAAAAATCTTTTCTTTTTCTTATAACGTTAACGCGTCTGCTTTTCTCTTAAGCTGTTTATGTAACAGTTTAAGTATATACATATGCAATTATCTATCTACAGAACGACCTGAATATCTCTCTAGCTTACAGTATATATACATATATATATATATATATATATATATATATACATTATACGCTGAAGAACAGTTTGTTGACAGAAAACCGTCAAAACACTTATACGAATACAAACACAGGTATAATGTAATGTATACGCAGTTAAATGAATGTGAAATTAATGTTGCATTACCTCTCTTCATTGCATTATAAAATATAAAATACACATAAATTATGAGGATTAAGACAAAAAGACAAAAAATATATATATATGTATATATATATATTAACAAATGCGCGGCATATGTATGAAACGTATTATTTAAAACAAAAAAAAAAAGAACAAAATGAAAAGACTGTTGCACTATCTGCTTTGAATCGAATTTTCGATACCCTTTACCTAAAGAATTATCATAAAGTTTTTAGTTTTCCTACGAATGATAATAAACTGCATACTGCATGCCAGAACTTAGGCAACCGATAAATATAGGAGAAATATCTGGCAAAAGAAATGTTTATTTATAATGGAGCTAGCTGGGACCATTTTCACGGAAGTATCTTTGAACTTCTTCTTGTTCGCATCTTTGTCTTTTTTTTCTACATTTGCAGACTTCTAGGTAAGGTAATCGACATTTTCACATATATCTTAGATTGTATTTAAGGGCACCTTAGCCACAGTATATGGAGTCAACCCACTTTAAATGCCAATCCCATCCATACACACACAAACATAGATATATATATGCAGATGTACAAAAAAACAAGAGCAACGATCTTGGGAGAAATATTACCCATCGGCCTACTATTGAAGAACCAACACGACTGCTATCCGGTAGACAGAATGTTGACAGAATGGCAGCAGCGACAAGAAAACGACTCGAAAGGGAAGTGGACATAGAACCCTCGTACAGAACAATGGGTGGGGAGAAAACATGGCAGCAGTTAATTTCTTCCTTATTCGTCTTTTTCACTCGGGCTGTTGCGCCATTTCAAGAACAAAAAAAAAAGGCGTAGACATGTTTGAGGAGCAGTTTTTTCAGATCTCTGGAATTGATGTCAGGTAACTTGCTAGTGATCATGTTAATGGACGAAATGCGTCTCGAGGCCAAAGTGAAAGCGTTACCGGGACCCAAGTGTACAGCCACTAGGTGGCTATACACTGCCACTACATCTATTAGAAAAAAGAAAAAAAAAAACACACATACAGAATTCAAGCGACTTAACAGGGTTAGTGTACGGCAATCATGTAATAGGGTGTCATTAATAAGAGGGTAGAGCGAAAAGAGAACAAATTGAAAATGCATACATTACCAACCAGATCAATTACGTTGATAGTATTGTACAACTCATTATTAGCATTGTAATCAGATGTACACTCACTGAGACACGGGGAAAAAAGTAAATAATTTATGTTTAAATGGAATTGAAGGAAGAAGAAGAAAAATTAAAAAAATGAGAAAGAGTTGGGGGAAGAAGGAAAAGGAAAAATATTTTGTGTTTTTTTTTTCGGGTATTATATTATCTTATGTGACATCTGTATTATGGTTTATTAGCTTCAGGTTGTCAGCATTTGTATGTTAGCGAGTGTGCTCACAAATTATCACATTTAAGAAGGGTAGTTGTTGTTTAAGGATTAACTCATATCTTTTTTTCTGGGAAACACATATAATTAGATGAATAACACACAACGATTCGAAAGAAAGGGTTGTTGTACACGTGAATAGATGAGAAAGTGTAATAGATGAGATGGGTTTTTAATTGATTTCTCTGGAAAATTAACAAAATAAAAATGAATGAGAGATTAAAAAATAATACATAAAAAGCAAACAAAAAAAATTTCAAAATCTCCGTACATTACCCTCAACTAAAGTAAATAAATAAAAATCGCAAATAATAGACCTGTTATGTCGAACTAAACAAAGTTACGTTTAGAGGGAAAAATTTATATGTTTTATATGCTTTAAGAGAAGAGCCTGCTTTAGAGACCTCTACGCCGTACATATGTAATATTGCCCAGGTTGCTGCGTTTCGTGAATGACATTTTCAAGTCAAAAATAGAAAAAAAAACTAACAAAGAATACTGAGATCTTTTTCTAATATTCATAGTGCTTAGTTATCTTCTTTTTCTTAACCAATTAACTGCGTCGATCTCTTTATCGATATACTCGTACACTTGTCAAACACAGATTATGATGAACACACGTTCATAATGATAAAATTTTATAAGGAATTCGACAAGCACGAATGGACCGATCGTGACGTATACAGTTGTTACCACACAATTAACTGGTTAAAAACAACAGAAAATAATTTGCCACATCTAAGCAGAAAAGGGAGACAAAGTGTTTTGGCTGAACCGCGCAAAAAAAGTCCGCGTTTTTTGGTTGTTGGTGGTCCGATCTTTTCACCAATTTGTTGCGCTTGGTTACTGTCGCTCCGAGATCTTAAGTTTTCCATGCCTTTTTTATGGTTTAATGTTTATTATCTTTTATAGCAAAAGAGAAATTAAGAGCAAATTATTTATACAATACGTTATGTGATTGAAACTCAATAGGTAATAAGAGTAATAAGTAATAATAAATAAGGTGTGTATGGCCGTAGGTGACCGATTGGTCAATCTTCACTAGCCATGAGAGCAAGAAAAAGGAATGCGTTTTCCTATTACAGTTTTTTCTTTTTTGCCTTTGTATCAATTTAGGTTTTCTCAAGGAATAGACGCAATAGCATAACCCAAACTCGATCATTACAAAAAATTCCCGATGACTTGCGATGTGTCTTTATGGCTTTGCTTAGAGCACGTCCTCGATAACAAAATATATTTTTGGGCCATTATTCGTCGTTTGCTAGAAGACTTTGGAGAGATTAACGGGGCAAGTCTCATACTGCCTTAGTTCGTCGAGACTTTTTCAGCAGAAATTCGACTCGCTTCCAACTTTTGTTTATTTTCGAAACTTGAAAAGCCATTCCGGTCGATTGAAGAATAATCAGCCCATTACCTACTAAGATTATTGAAATAAATTTTAAATACAGAGCTCAGCTAAAGTGTTACTAACTACAAAAAAAAAGTGTTGCCTCTTTAGATTATAATAGAAGTGAATTTTCATAATTTCCTTTATGATAATATATGTAAGGGCCAAGAGTACAAGAGAAGGCGTATTCAATCGAACCGCCTGCACCCTTATGTTTAAAGAAACTTAGTTTGAAATATTGTGTCTTTAAGATCTTTTCAAAGAGAAAAATTACTTTAGGACACATTACGCTTGAAGCCGATCTGCAATCGTTTATATATAGCTAATTTTCTCTTATTATTACATGATCGAACTTTTTAAACAATTGCGGATACTTTTTACACCAATCGTATTACTACTTACTATTACGGGAAAATCAGCTATATATGAACGATTGCAGATCGGCGCAACTACGTCACCATTTAATGGAGGGCACTACGTCTTTTTTCCAGGTAACTTGAGACAAGACGATCAGTGCTTTCGGCAAAAATTGTTTTGATACTTTGGAAACTTAACTTCGCATTGCTTGAATTTGCGATTTAAAACAATGCCATGAAAGGGCGACCTTGCCCATGCCCAAGGCACTAGTTCGAAGGCGTATTCACCTCTTGAACCTATTTGTTGACAAAAAGCAAGACTTTCAAAACTATGATTTTAGCAAAGCAAATCACATAAAAGCTATGACTTGTAGGTGTAATTTCGTAATACTACATACTTCAGACCGAGTACAATTTATAATTTGTAGTAAAAATTTAATTCTTATGATAAATGCGTTACTACATAATGTATGAATATGTATATTCATGTGCGACTGCATATCAGGCAACAAGTGTGCGTTTGCACAAAAAAAAAAAAAAAAAAGTCAATGAGTTTTAAAACAAAATACAAAGCTAGAAAGTGAAAGAAAATCACAGCAAAAGCTTAACGACCTATTTAATTTGTGAACCGAATTAATTAAAAAAAAAAATATATATATATACAAAAAAAATATACAAAAAAAAAGAATCTTCTGTCTGGCGCTCGTAGTTGAAAAACAACTGGTAAATTTTTTAAGCAAGCACTAGAAGAGAATGCGTTTTGCAATCAATTTAATGTTTTGTCTTTAATCACAATATTCAAATTAGCTCCATTTTTTCCCTTTTTATACCTTTTTTTTTGTTTTTTGCATGATACATAATAGGAATGTGCGTGAACCAGTTAGGCTCGTTAATTTCACTTTTTTCCCGTTACTACAAGTTAATGGTTTTTTACAAATTCTTTGATGTTTCCTGAAGTATCACTCAGTCTATGCTATGAATGAATGTGTCCTTGTGTGCTCCTTCTCTCTCTCTCTCTCTCTCTCTCTCTCTCTCTCTCTCTCTAGCTCTTTCTATTTGTCGCTCGGTCGCTCTCTCTCTCTCTCTCTCTCCCATTCTTAAAGTTTACAAGACCTTACTCCTTGTCCTTTTGACATTGAAGTGAAAGCTAATGCATAAACAAAATAGCAAAGAAGATAAAATCATAAGTCAAAATAAGTAAAAACAAAATAAAAATAGCAGGGCTTGCATTTAATTGCTTAAATTGAAGCGATTTATTGGCCTGTTTCAAGCAGGCTGGCAGGCAGGCAAGCAGGCAGGCATACACAATAAACACTTGTTGTGAATTTCCATTCATTCATTCATTTTTATTCGAAAATTACAAAAACGTGATAATTTCAAACGAATTGTGTTTCCTTTAATCTTCTTTAAATATAGTTAATTAAACGAGCGTATATTTTTTATATAACGTACATATATCCTTGTGTCTGTTATATTAATATGTTTTCTCGCATGTAATAAAATTTTCTTCTCTCATACATTATTTAATTACATTTATTTTGTTTAGACATTGATATCCTCGAAGCTTTTATCATAAATTCATTCGTTATTTACACGCACCCCAGCAAGGACGTTTGCCACGCGCACAACATTTGTTTTCATTTCATCGTTGTTTATATTGTTATCGTTGTTATTGTTGTTGTTGTTATTTTTCTTTAATATTTTAAAGGATGCTTATTCCTCTTGCTGAGAGAGATAGAGAGATACCGAGATTGAGTGCATTGTGTGCGTTATGTTGTTGTGTTAACATACGGCCAATTATATACTCTGTGTTGATGGCATTGATTTTATTACATTTTTATCATATCGTCATCATATATCAACCTTTCCTCCAGAGCTCCTCAATCCATCACAATCCACATATTTGCATACAAAAATTTTCACTAAAATACACTTTTGCATCATAATGTTACGGTCTATCTAACGATGCGGATGTTTTTAACGGCACTAACGCGATCGAATATTTCTTATTATAGTGAGTGGAATGAAAAACTTCGATAAATGAAAAAATATAAAATTATAATTTTTTGAATTTTTTTTTAATATGAAAAATTCTAATACATACGGAATAAAAAAAAAAAATTAAAACATTAATATAATAATAATAATTAAAAAAAAAAAAATCAAAGAAGAATTTAGTTGTTGTATAAAACCTGACTTAAAATACTTTGTAAAGCATACTTTCAGTTGTTTTTTAAATTGTAAAATAATTACATGCTTTTTGGCGAAATAAAAGAAGAAGCTTCAATTCAAGCAATATTCAAATGCAAAAGAATTATAAGAAACATATAAAAATAAGTGAAATAAAACCGTTCACCCCCTACATAGAAAAGTAATAAAATACAGTGATATATAATAATAAAAACAAAATTTAATAGTAAAAAATAAGGAAAACTAAAATAAAAATTGAATATATTATTGTTATCGGAAAATATCACTACAATTTTGATTGATTCAAAAATTTCTTTCGGGATAACTCGAACAAAAAACTGTTTTCATTTTACAATCTCAAAGCCGGTAGGCTTAGATGATAGTACGTTACCCCGCCTTTAGTCTTAAAATTTATTTCTTTGACTAAACTTTTTTTTTTTTTTTGCTTTGTTTAAACGAATGGATTTTAGGCCCGTTGAGCATAAGACCAATATACCCAGTAGTGTGATACGTGTTTTTATTTTTGTTAATCCTTTGCATTTATTTATTTATTTATTTTTATTTTAATGAGCTTATTGCTGTTTAATTATTGCTCGTAAACTTTGAGGTTATGAAATTCACCATCAATAAGCATACAATTTAAAATATTTATACATATTTATATATATATACATATATATATATTATGCATAAAATTTAAAACAAAATTAAAGCAAATTTTATACTTATCAGCTATGATATTCTTTTTCAATTATATGTTACAGCCGATTTATATGCTGCAGCTGGTTGTCTTTTCGCCAACAATAGCATAAAAACCTATAATACTATTTCCACACTATTTATCGTTTACTCTTAAATATAAAAACGATGGACAAGAATGATGCCTTCTCAAATTTTTTTCATATATTTGCCCGGGAAGAAATTAAAATAATATTATATATAAAAATTTAACACATGCATATATGTATACGTATGTGCAGAAGAGGATGTAATTGAGTCGATCTGTTAAAGAATCACAAGAAATACCAAATTAATGTTTGATAATAGGAAAAATTTGTTGATCAGTCACTTTTCTCAGACAATATGCTGATCAAGAAGAATTTAAGATAGAGACTTGCGTCAGCATTTTTCGTCCGTCTTTGTTTTTTTTTTTTTTTTTTTGCTATGTAACATATTTGACAGGGCAATTGTAATTTTTCCAACTTACTATAAGAAGGAATAATAATAATATAACTTTTTTAAGAAAAATGTGGAAATTTCCACTGCTGGTAGTAACAATAACAAGAAGAAACGGAAGAAACAGAACAGATTTCGAAGTATATCATCAAATCCATTCCACAAAAATTCAATTAAAAAAGTTTTGCAAGGTCCAATTTAACATAATTGTTAATATGCAAAAAAGTAGGCAAAAAATTTATTATATATTTGCAGCGAATTATAGGCAACAAAATATTTCTAATGCATAATTAAAAGAAATTTAATAAAAAGAAAGGAAAAACCTCTTGCCGGTGTCGTATGAGATCGATACATAGCAGGAGGTTCAAAAACTTCACAAAGAAAGCTGCTTAGATATAAATTTTTTTTTTATAAATTCCAATGTGCCAACACGGTTGCTGCAATTACTCGCATTGCTATTTATTCTACGCCGAAACGTTAGCCGATACCTTTGCCGGTTAAGTTGAAGAAAAGAAAACCGTGACAAATTTTAACTCAATTTTGTACGTAACAGCAGTGTAACATCACTTCAGAATTCATAGAATAGGAGGCGGACATTAAAGAACCTTCAAATGTACATCTTGCTCAATTTTACTCAAATTTTCTTTGCATGAGTCTAAACTTACCTGAGCCTTACGTCAGAGATATAAGTGAAATTTAAAGTAGCATTACAAGCGAAACTTACATTAAGGATATGAATGAACTTTACATCAAAGATATTAATGAAACTTTTACAAAATGAGCAAAGAAACTAATTTTCGAAAAAAGTGCAATACTAAAGGCTTCGCAGGTTTCTTCTGCAATTTAATTTATATTTTTTGATCTTATAAGAGGAATATACAAAGTCTGCAGTTTCCTTAAACGAACTCAACATATAATAGGTAGCTTTTCGGCTAGAATGAACGTTTTCTTGATCAAGTTCTATCGACATTTCATTCTGAAAGTTTATTTCAAAAATTTTTACCGATCTTTCGTGTGTGAAACTTTCAAAAGTACAAAACTCAGTATTACTCTAACCAATTGCTATCTTTTACGATTATAAGCTTCCAAGTGGATATAGCTTTCTTTAGTTGCCTCTCTGTCCTCCCGTTTGTCAACACCTGTAAAATTGCAAAATTGAATTAAAATAAAAAAAACACACAAGGTTTCCATTTGTATAAAAAAAAATTCTATTCTTCTAATATGTAGTATGCAAAGAGATACTGCATCTACAATGGAATGAAATTGGCATTTATGAATATCGAACGTGAGCATATGAAATCGAATCAACATAGGAGTTTTGCTCTACTGTAACTAACATATTTTTAGTCCATCTAATGTATAGAATTTTAAAGTTTAAGATCTTTTCTGTTTTCTTACTGCGCTTACAACACACAACTATTACAATTCTATAAAACTATTTATTATCTAAATATTAATACCGATTGGATCTAAACAAATGTGAAGTACGCGATATATGGAAACAAAAAAGAGTGGATATACCAGAGCGCGAAATTTATTAATAATAAGTATATAAGAGATTATATATATATATATATATATATAGGAAAACAAATATACGCCCATAACCATTGCTTATATATGGCTATATAAATACGTACATATGTACATATATTTACCCACAATTCAGTGAGCGATTGAACAAAAGAAAAACCAGTAAATGACGGTGCGCATCGGCTTAAACCTAAAATAGTTTTGAACGCAGCGAAAAATTGTTTACTAACCAGAGAAAAAGGCACAACTGCTGAACCGCTGAACCGAGAGTGAAGACAAATAAACGAAATCAACGAAAGAAATCAAAAGAATTGTAATAATAGGGAGAAAAAAAAAATTAATTATTTATAATTAGATAAGAAATATGTGAAAATAAATTACGTTGGAAAAATTTAAGTAAGAAATAAATTAAAAAAAAGCAGAAGAAGAGAAAAAAAACAAAAAAAAAGAAAAAAATAAATCATTACGTAAATGTTTTGAAAAATACCACAAATGTTGAGCAGATTGCAACAGAAGCCGTTACCGCAAAAATGTTTACGGCCATTACTCGGGTACCAAGAATTTCAGAGTGTTGTGTTTGTGTCATTGAAATTTATAATAAATATTTAACAAATCAACAAAAACAGCAACAGCAACAGCAAGAAAAACTTAAAAAATTAATCAGATACGTTGGTAAAAACCAGCAACAGACACAGCAACATCTACAACTATCAGTAAGAGCAGCGAGCCAATTACAACAAATTAACCGAAGCAGCAATGTATGCATTGCCTGGATTACAAAAACAACAAAAACAACAAAAACAACAACAAATAAAAAATCAACAAAAACGATACAGCCAACTAAAGACAACACCTCGAATTGTTCAAGTGAAAGCAAATCACAGATATTGTCAACCAACAAAAAGTTCAACTTTAACTTTATCATCATTAACAGCAACAACGACAACAACAACAGCAACAACAATAACTATAGATACATACAGTAAGACATCATAATCAACACCATTACCATCATCGTCCTCGCCATCGACGTCAACAGCATGCTCGTCGAGCAGCAACAGCAGCAGCAGCAGCAGCAATACCAGCCACAGCACAAGCACACTTGCTCTAGGTACGACAAGCTATACTGAAACGCCTCGTTGCCTACACCTGCATTTGCATTTAATTATTGTGATTATCTTGGCCTGTTGTACACGTTGGTAAGTCGCTCTTTGCACAAATCATGCATCAACAACTTTATAGTCATGTTATACATGAAACCTACACATACAGTCATATCACTGCAAACGTTACTATTACTGTTACTGTTTCGTCGTTTCGATGGTCGTCTTTTTTTTTTTTTTTTTTTTTTTTTTTTTGATTTTTTTCTTACCGTATTTTCATAGGCTTCTAAATTGTTTGCTAACCAGGCATGACATACAACGACAAACAGGTAAACAAGACAAATTAATCAATCACTCAAGCAAAGCAATCATCACACACAAGCACTACGAATATATATACATATATATATTATATGTTATGTACGTAGGCAGACAAAGACGCATAGTTAAGTAGCGTCTATGAAAGCAAAACAACAAGTGTGAAAACACAATTTCACACAGACTAAAACCACCAATGACAAGTTTAATTAATTGCAGTTAACATCGTTTTTAATAAAAATACAAATAAAAAAAAAAAAAAAAAAAAAAAAAAAACTAATAGTAATAACGAGAAACAATTAACATATTCTCAAACTTTTTTGTAAGTAAAGATGACAAAGGTACTGGAAAACGTCAACATTTCGGCTAATTTATGTTTAAACAAAAGTAATGTCTTACCTCACTACCATACATAAATAAATCTAAAGATAAGCGATTAAGTTGTCGTTAGGGATCAATGATTACGGCTAATAAACGATTCATTTTTAACGTCATCCATTAACATTAACATTTTTTTTTTTTTTTTTTGATCCCCAAATCCATATCTATCCTGTTGCCGTAACAAATTAATTGATAGCTCTTTTGTTAGTAGGGAGAAAAGGAAATAAGAGCTAACAAAGGAAGATGAAAAAGACGATATCTAAATATATTTTGAATACGTCACTTATTAATTTACTCACTTACGTGAAATGTCAAAACAATGGTTAGGAAAGTCCCATTGCATTTTTTATTATGATAAATGAAGATTAGCAACATTGGAGCAAGTTAGCCGATAGTATATAGTGTGCGAATATCGTATAACCTTTCGTTAGTTTCTAGCCGGATGCCAAATAATCCGACCTTATTGCGAGACATTCAGAGGATCAGCAATATTGGATTCAAAACGAATTACAACTTTGCCGTGAATCCTTATATATTTTAGTTATACAATATTGACTTTACATGAACTTTACATGACAAATTTGAGTTTAATTTGTTTGACTATTTCTTATGCTGCTAGATCATTAAAACTATTTTAGAAATAAAATTAATTCAACCAACCAGAATAAGAAATGTAAACCATATTATCGGACACGAAAAAGCCAGTATCAATATCAGTAAATTACGGTTTTCATAAAAGATAAATAGCTCACTCAATACATTTTCTACGTATTGCATACGAAATTGTGAGCCGTCATTACTCATTTACCATTTACGCAGAAATTTATACTATTTATGTAATATATATACTATATTTTATGAAAAAACATATATAAAAATAAATGATTCCGTTAGCCTCTTCTAAGATGTTTTTAAGCAAAGAAAATAATATTTTCCCTTTGCTTATCATGTTTCAAAGTTTTTTTGAGAGCACTTATATAAAAGACAACTGGCAAAGAATATCAAATCAATATAAAAATGTAGCCTTACCTTTAATAAAAGTTTCATTAAATTTATAAAAATTAATTAGGATTTTTGTAAACGCTTTCCTCCGGTCAAGATTTTCTATACAAATTACTCACCAAATTTTTTCTCGCCAATCGAGAGGAAAGCAGTAACGTAAAAACTTTTCGCCTAAAAGTAGACATATTCACCTCTGTAAATATGTTCATAGCAGCAAAACAACAATACTTTGACATTCAGTTATTTTCTGTCCATATGTCAAGCGGAAGTAGTATGGGCACGGAATGGAAATATCTGTTTGTGAAATCCCACAACTATATGACTTTAATTGATGCATTCATTGCTTTTGCCTGAAAGCACATTGAACAATATGGGTGGTCTCAAACCTCAACCTCAGTTATAAGGAAAATAGAGAGTAAAATACAAAAAAAAAAAAAAAATATATATATATATATATGTATAGATATATATGTAATAAAAATAAAATTTAAAACTATATCCTCGTATGATGGTATTCTATACAACTAATTGAAGTTGATGGCGACTGTTATTGTTTGAAATAAAAAATAAAAAAACATGAATATGTCATGTAATGACAAACGAATGAATGCACACACACACACACACACACACACACACACACACACATACACACATACACGTGTTTATTTGTTAAGTAAACAAGAGTTAGTTGCATGATGTGCGGTTTAACGTTGTCACTGTGGATTGTTGTTATTGTTATCAACATAATTTTCTGGCTTGTTGACATCTTAAGACTGCAGTATAAAGTACGGCAAGAGACCACAACTGCAATATGAAATGCAGTTTTCATTCATTGCATCGCAAACGGCAAACATTGCCACAGCCAATCATCATCATAATCATTGTCGTCATCATCATTATCGCCATCAACTGCAACGCCATTATTATTACTCCTAATTGCATTGCATAATGAGCTGCTCTACACGCACGCTCTTGTACGTATGTATTTATTCGTGTTTTTTGTTCTTTTTTTTTATATATATATATGTATATATGTATATATGTATATGTGTAAAATTTCAACAACAATTGCATTTTTGTAGCCATGCTGCACTTAAGTGTGCCCACATTTTCAATACACACAAACGCAAATATGTGAAGATATTTATTATTGTTGCTGTTCTGCTTTAAGCCAATGTAAAGTTTTTGGCAGGTAAATAAGGTGTTATGTTGTTGTTCCCTATGCATATGGCGCACTTTTCACAACCCACCAACTTCTTCTTCATGTTGCTGGCCATGTATGTACATGCACTTATTTGAAATGCAAATGAAGTATACAAGCAAGAATAATGTGTGCATTATAATTGGATATCATATGTGCTACTGCTGCTATTGCTGTCGCTGCTATTGCAGCAACAAAAACATCAGCAGCCCCTAAAGTGCATTATAGCAAAGTGCATTTCAAGCACTAGAGATAGCAAAAGGAGCTCGGGAAAAACGAGATAGCACAGCAAGAAAGTGTTAATGTGTTGGCTTACAATTTTCGATGATGCAAATTTCGATACAACAAGCAAAATAAACAAAAAAAAAAATAATTCTCTCACTTTTACACACCCATTTGCAGTAGTAGTAGTTTATGTTTGAAAAAAAAAAATTGAAACCCTACATTTTTTATGCGTAATATAATGTGCTTACTATCCTAGAACCCCTTGCCATTTTAATATATTACATAATTTTTGAATATGATGATAAAACTTTCGCTATCGTCACGTATTATACATAAATAAATCATTGACTTTTATATCTTCAGCTAAGGGTAAATAATAAATCAGGTTATCTTTTTTCAACAACCATTTTGATTGGAAAGCATCAAATATGTGACTTATGATATATTTTGATGATAATTTCCCTAAGAATAAAATGAAAGTAAAATTTTATCATTAGGCATTCTTGTATCTATCACTGAATGGTTGCAATATGTCCACCTTGCCCCAAAAGGAGCTTCAGAGGCCCTTATCACTGTAAAATTCTGAACCCAAACAAATCTGTTTGTTTGTTTAAGTGCGTGCGGTAAGGATTCTTCCAATAGCGAAAAACAAGTAATCAGGTTCATGAAGCAAAAACATTAAAAACTCGTACACGCTGCTTGCTACCACTGAAAATGTATTAAACAAAAAAATCTCTTTGTTCGGTGTATGATACTACAACCGGTATATATAAGAAAGGAAAGGTCGGCCACATCCAGCCACTAGAATAGGGTAACGAAATTTCTTTTCTCTTCGTCTCTTTTTTGCGGCGGGGTTTTTTTAAGCGGGCAAAGCGGATGGATATAAAAAACTGGGTAAAGCGGGATATATTATCGCTATGTTGCCAGAGGGAAAAAAGTTGTAAGATTAAAAATATTTTGATTACCATATCTTGTCACAATTCTTCTTAATTCTTCTTTTTCAATAAAAAAAAAATGCTCAAAATACATGCAACAAGCATCGATTAATTTTCCTACTTGCGAAGAAGAGGTGGGATCTCACCCAAAAAGTAAAAACATTAAATAAATACCCTAGACCATCCACACACTAGTTGTTCGTACAATGAACTTTCAAAATAAGGCCTTGTATGGGAAATGCTCAAAAAGGTGGCCCGATACACTCAATTTTCAATAGCGTTCGTCCTTGAGCCAAAACATCCCCACCAGAGTACAGACTGTCGGACAGACAACCTTAAATCGATTCGATTTTGAATCGATCGGTATAATAATAAAAACTAATTCGATGTCATCTATCAAGTCCTTCTGTGGATTTCATACATTCGCACTTGCACCCCACAAGTGCTGTGGAGCATAATAAAAGGTTCATTATTCCGGATTCTACTTACACATATATACAGTTGTGTCTGCGTGAAAGAACATCAACTAAAGCATGTCAACAGTTTTTCTTTTTATTCTTTTTATTCAATTGCTGAACTTATAGTTCTAACAGGATTATATCGACTGAAATTATAGGAGATTTTTCGAAGCATGTTTGGCATATATTGCCTTCTCTTTTACTAATTCGTACATGAGTTAATACTCATGTTCACCAAAAAAATAATTTAATTTATATTATTTATTAATTATCTCATCATCAGTAGGTAACATTTTGAATGCCTTCGAGAACCTAAGTCAGAGTCTCGCAAAATTCCCAAAGTTGAAAAATGAAGTTTTACTTGAAAGGTCCTCCCGCCGATCATAAAATGGAAAAAACCCTACCCTTCATAAATGTTTTAATTTTTCACTTTGTCTATCCGTTCACATATCTGCAACGTATAATTGTAACATTTCAAATCGGAGAATATTGAAATTTGATCTGTCTATTCTCATTTCATAACCACCATAAAAGAATGTCTGTGATTTTGTCATAACTTCACCTGCCCAGTAG